ACTTAATTATCTCCAGGTCTAGGGGAGGGAATTATATGTTTGTACTGGGAGTGTTTGACTTTTTCTCTGTTCCTGATTGGTTATATGATTTATGTCTTGTGGGTGGTCCCCTTGCACGAGGACTTGCATAAAAGCTGGTGTGGCATCATTAAAAGTTAGTTCTGTTGTACCCTTCTTCTAGACTTCGGCTGATGTTTGGGTATCTGCCTACTTTACTAAGGGAATTTACTTGGGAAGCTGTTATTCGTGTGGAGATTGCTTATTTTATTTGCCGAACGGAGAGTCATAGTCACTGACACTCTGGCCGTTAGGGAGGAATCTACCAAATGGGTATTGGATATACCAGGTTTCCTTACAACTGGTAGCGTGCGGAGGGATTCGAATCCCGAATGGACGTCCCGAACCAAGAAAGGGAATGAATGGCTCAGCAATACCAGCTACTAAAAAGATCCACGCTAAAAGATTTACTGGAAGCTTGAGGCATAGTAGCAAGTAATAAGATAAAAGCCACGTTAATTGCGGAATTATTACAAAGCGACGGAACCGGTAATACAGAAATGGAGCATGTGGAAGAAACCGAGCTGCAGAAAGATGTTAGATGGATGCTCAGCATGTTGGGACCCAATCCATCAACAGGAGCTGTTGAGTTCTCTGTTCCTGATTGGTTATATGATTTATGTTTTGTGGGTGGTCCCCTTGCACGGGGACTTGCATAGAAGCCGGTGTGGCTTAATTAAAAGTTAGTTCTGTTGTACCCTTTTTCTAGACTTTGGCTGATGTTTGGATATCTGTCTACTTTACTAAGGGAATTTACTTGGGAAGCTGTTATTCGTATTGCTTATTTTATTTGCTGAACAGAGAGTTATAGTCACTGACACTCTGGCCGTTCGGGAGGAAACTTCCGAATGGGTATTGGATATACCAGGTTTCCTTACACCGGTCTTTAATGATGCTCCGGTGCCAACTCCATCCATTGTATAGGAAAGAAGATGAGTGCACTCCGGAGACTGTAGTAGTAAAGTAGAAATGCTTTTATTTAGCACAAATAAACATCAACGTTTCAGTCCTCCTGGACTTTTCTCAAAGAGAAAGAGAAAAGTCCAGGACGACTTAAACGTTGATGTTTATTTGTGCTAAATAAAAGCATTTCTACTTTACTACTACAGTCTCCAGAGTGCACTAATCTTCTTTCCTATATATACACATAGGCGTGCGCACAGGGTGTGCCTGGTCACACCCTAATCCCTGCGGCACGCCTATGGATTGAGACCGGCAGGGGAGATCTTAGGATCTCCCCTGTCGGCTCATGCAGAGCCCACGCTATCTGTGCGCCGGCTCTGCTCTAAGCCTCCATGGGCCGGTGGGGAGATCCTGAGATCTACCTCACCGGCCCACAGCAGCAGGGAAGCAGGCAGGAGAGGACTCGGGGAGCTTTAGCCTGCAGCTCCGCCGGGTTCCTCTCGTGTGGTCGGAGCATTCCCGCGGCAATGCTCAGATCTTGCGAGAGTGAACTCTAGCCTCGTAGGCTAGAGTTTACTCTCCACTGGACCAGCAGGTAAGGCAGCAGCACGGTCCCCCCTCCCTACATAAGGTAAGAAGGGAGGGGGGTATTAACTAATCTAACCCCACCTCCACCCCCACAATCACCCAAACATACAGCACACACACACAGCACCTACAGACACAGCACACACAGCACCCTCACACATACAGCACACACAACACCCTCACACACTCAGCACCCCCACACACACAAAGCACCTACACACATACAGCACCCTCACACACATACAGCACCCGCACACACAGCACCCGCACACACACACAGCACACAAACAGCTCCCACACACACACAGCACCTACACACATACAGAACACACACACAGCACCTACACACATAGCACCCTCACACACACAGCACCCTCACAAACACACACAGACAGCACCCTCACACACACAGCACACTAACAGCACCCTCACAAACACACGACACCCACACACAGCACACAAACTGCACCCTCACACAATCGGCACAGTACCAGTACCCTCACACACAGCACACAAACAGCACCCTCACAGGCTCACACACAAACAGTACCCTCACATACAGCACACTAACAGCACCCTCACAAACTGCACCCTCACACAATCGGCACACTACCAGTACCCTCACACACAGCACACAAACAGCACCCTCACAGGCTCACACACAAACAGTACCCTCACACACAGCGCACTAACAGCACCCTCACAAACACATAAACACCCTTACCCATATAGCACACTACCAGCACCCTCACACACACAGCAACCTTACACACACACAGCACCCTAACACACACAGCAGTGTATGTGTGTATGTATATATATATATATATATATATATATATGTACACATACATACATACAAACACAACACACAAACAGCACCCACACACATACAGCACCCTCACACACACAGCACACAATCAGCACCTACACACATACAGAACCCTCACACACACAGCACCACACACACACACAGCACCCTCACACACACAGTACACTAACAGCACCCTCACAAACACACACACACACACACAGCACCCTTACAAACACACAGCACCCTCATACACAGCACACTAACAGCATCCTCACAAACACACACAGCACCCTCACACACACACAGCACACTAACAGCACCCTCACAAACACACGACACCCACACACAGCACACAAACTGCACCCTCACACACACACAGCACACTACCAGTACCCTCACACACAGCACACAAAGAGCACACCAACAGCACCCTCACAAACACACCACACTAACAGCAGTGTATGTATGTGTGTGTGTGTGTATATATATATATATATATATATACATACATACATACATATACACGTGGCGTGTGTTTGTGCTTTAGAGTGTACACCCTAATGCAAAAGGCTTCGCAGGCCTATGTATATACATACATATATATATATATATATATATATATTTTAATTCTACGTATATATTTATGTAATATTTTTACATAATTAAGTCCTTTTATTAATTACAATTTGCGGTACCTGTCTGACAACCAAGGCAGAAAGTCCAGAGAATTTAATTTGCTACCACTATATTTAACCCTGTAACTTTCCAAGACACCATAAAACCTGTACATGGGGGGTACTGTTTTACTCGGGAGACTTTGCTGAACACAAATATTAGTGTTTCAATATAGTAAAATTTATTACAACAATCATATCATCAGTAATGATAAAAATAAAATTCCCTCAGCTCATGGCCCATGGCTAGTAAACCCCACATGTATGCCACACAATATTGTCCAAGCCTACCAATATGTAAATGTTGCATTCCTTTTATCTGTTTTCTTTCTTTTGTAACACTCACCTTTTACGCTGAAACCATGACCTGAGTCAAAAATAAAGAATTAAAAAAACCAAAACACTTTGTTTATGCACCCTAGTGACACCTCCCTGCATGTTACTTGCACGGTTTCTTAAACACTTCCTGTAAAGAGGCGTCTAATGTGTATGCTTCCTTTATTGCAAATTCTGTTTAATTTAAAAAATGTTATCCCCCCCACTGTTAATAGCTTGCTAGGCACTGCAGGAGCCTCCTAGTTGTGATTAAAGTTCATTTTAGAAAGCAGGAGATAAGAACTTTTAACCCGTTAGTGACCACGAACGTACAGGGTACGTCAGCCAAAAAATGGTCGTTAACGACCGCTGACGTACCCTGTACGTCCGCGGCCAAAATGAGCGCTGGAAACGATTGTGATCGCTTCTAGCTGCTCTAAGGGTATTACACAATGCCTCGATATCAAAGCTTCCGATGTGACTAAGTGGCTACTACAAAAGACTGGACATACCCCATTTTGAATACCCTGGGTTGTCTACAAAAGAAAGGTAGTAGGGAGGAGTCGGGCAACTATAGGCCAGTAAGCCTTAGTGTTAAAGGATAGGTTGTTGAAAATCTAAAAACACATGGATTTCAAGATCAGAGACAACATGGGTTTACTTCAGGGAGATCATGTCAAACTAATCTTATTGATTTTTTTGATTGGGTAACTAAAATAATAGATCAGGGTGGTGCAGTAGACATTGCTTACCTAGATTTCAGTAAGGCTTTTGACACTGTTGCACATAGAAGGCTTATCAATAAATTGCAATCTTTAAGTTTGGGTTCCAATGTTATTGAATGGGTAAGGCAGTGGCTGAGTGACAGGCAAAAGAGGGTTGTAGTCAATGGAATATATTTGAAGCTTGGGCTTGTCACCAGTGGGGTACCTCAGGGATCTGTACTTGGACCCATTCTCTTTAATATTTTTATTAGTGATATTGCAGAATGTCTTGATGGTAAGGTATGTCTTTTTGCTGATAATACTAAGATATGTAACAGGGTTGATGTTCCAGGAGGGATCAGCCAAATGGCAAATGATTTAGGTAAACTAGAAAAATGATCAGATTTGTGGCAACTGACATTTAATGTGGATAAGTGCAAGCTAATGCATCTTGGATGTAAAATCCCAAGGGCAGAGTACAGAATATTTGATAGAGTCCTAACCTCAACATCTGAGGAAAGGGATTTAGGGGTGATTATTTCTGATGACTAAAAGGTAGGCAAACAATGTAATAGAGCACCAGGAAATGCTAGCAGAATGCTTGGTTGTATAGGGAGAGGCATTAGCAGTAGAAAGAGGGAAGTGCTCATGCCATTGTACAGAACACAGGTGAGACCTCACTTGGAGTATTGTACCCAGTACTGGAGACCATATCTTCAGAAGGATATTGATACTTTAGAGAGAGTTCAGAGAAGGGCTACTAAACTGATTTATGAATTGCAGGATAACACTTACCAGGAAAGGTTAAAGGAACTTAACATGTATAGCTTGGAGGAAAGACGAGACAGGGGGGATATGACAGAAACATTTAAATACATAAAGAGAATCAACACAGTAAAGGAGGAGACCATATTTAAAAGAAGAAAAACTACCACAACAAGAGGACATAGTCTTAAATTAGAGGGGCAAAAGTTTAAAAATAATATCAGGAAGTATTACTTTACTGAGAGGGTAGTGGATGCATGGAATAGCCTTCCAGCTGAAGTGGTAGAGGTTAACACAGTAAAGGAGGTTAAGCATGCGTGGGATAGGCATAAGGCTATCCTAACTATAAGATAAGGTATTTAGAAAATTGGGCAGACTAGATGGGCCGAATGGTTCTTATCTGCCGTCACGTTCTATGTTTCTAAGTGGCATGCCATGATGGGGTTATTTCACTTTCCTGGGCTACCATATGGTCTAAAAAGGCAACACAAACCCAGCAAACCAATCTGGCAAACTGAATTTGGCAAGCCCTATATTGACCCTGTAACTTTCAAAAACAAAATAAAACCTGTACATGGGGGGTATTGTTAGACTCGGGAGACTTTGCTGAACACAAATATGTGTGTTATAAATCAGTAAAACATATCACAAGGATGAAATCACAAGTAAAAGTGCAGTTTTTGTGTAAAAAAAATGCAAAAAATAAAAAATTAAAACGCTAACTTTATCCAGCGTTTGTGACTAAGTGGCTACAGTTTTTCTGTAAAAAAAATGCAAAAAATAAAAAATTTAAACGCTAACTTTATCCAGCGTTTGTGACTAAGTGGCTACTACAAAAGACTGTACATACCCCATTTTGAATACCGTGGGTTGTCTACTTTTACAAAGGGCATGCCATGCTGGGGTTAATTTTCATTCCTGGGCTGCTAAACGGTCTCAAATGCAACATAGGCCCAGCAAACCAATCTGGCAAATTTCAATTTGCAAACATGGAAAAGGGGAAAGCCCTATATTTGACCTTTGTAAGTTTGCAAAAACCCATAAAACCTGTACATTGGGGGCACTGTTATACTTGGGAGATGTTGCTGAACACATTTTGGGGTGTTCTTTGGCAGTAACACATAACAGGAACTGAGAATCAATGCCTAAATTACAATGTGAGAGAAAAGTAACAAAAAAATGACTACCTAAAAGTTTGACAAAAACTAGTGGTAGAATTAGTGCATGGAAAGTGTTAAAATACCACCATTTGAAATACCCTAGTGTGTCTACTTTTCAAAAATATATGGTTTGATGAGGGTAAATTATATTGGCTGGCT